TTTATTACACAAACATCTAAAATTTTGCCTAAAATCATTAGTTCGATATTCTGTAACTTTCCCTCTCACATCTAACTTATCCCAGACAAATTTTCTATGACCTTAACAACTTTATCGAAGTCTTCTTTATATTATGATACACATGCTTATTACAAATCGTCTTCATTTTCATAAGTATGATAATTTCTGTGATAAGTTTGATTTTAAACTTTAATAGATTGTGTAGGCAGTTGATGAGAACCTAACGAAATTAAATGAATTCCTAATATTATTCTGCACTAATTTGTTGTTTTTGCATTTGTCAAGACAACAAAAAAGAGGATCTGCTTATACATGAGAATGTAATTAATTGGTTGAATTACAGAAGCGTACTATATAAGCGAAAAACTATTGTCATAAATTATCTTTTACAAACTATGACACCGATAACATGTTGAATACTGTCCAAGACTTATTGATTATGTGAAAACCAATTAATAATAATTTCGAAAGCATACTATCTTATCCTCTAATGTATAGTTCATATATTTTAAATTTTAAAAATAAAAAAACTCCCATCCTAACTGCATTGTATTTCCATATACATTTCAATCTATAACACTGTTCAGTTTGCATTTTTTTGATTTCAAGTTTCCCCATATTGATTTTTTGAAAGACGAAAACAAAACCATGGAATAGTTCTGACAAAAAAAATTATTATCTTTGACAAGTTGATGCAATAAAAATCGTTTCAAAATTATTAGACAATGAAGTGTATGCATGAAATTTTACATCCTGATATATTTATGAAATAGTTTGTCATTTACTAGAGATGACATTTAATGAACATGAATTTGACAGTATGAAAAGCAAGACAGAATAAGATGAAAAAATCAATAAATACAGCAACAGCCAGTTTTTTTTTTCTCTTTTCATTGAATAAATGTAAGCAGACAAAAATAAAGTGTTAATTGTGTGCACAGGAAGTAAATACAATGCATTTGTAAATTAAAATGAATATTACTTAACTATAGATGAATTTATTGTTAAGAAAAAAATATATTGTTTCATTATGTAGGATTGTTGTATGTTGCTGAGATCTTAGTGAAATCTAGTGCTTTTCAGGTTTGACTACGGGTGTTGAAGTGTTTTGGATCATCTTCCATCAATTACTGATATCGCTTAGTCATCTTTCATGGCCTAAGATTTGACTGATCACGTCATTTCACTAGTGCTCAAAGAGTGTCCGTTTAAAAATTAGTCATCACCTTATAATGATTAGTGTATAGGGGGTTTGTGTAGATTGTTTCAATCAAACAATTTCTATTTTCTCTAGCTTTGTTATAAGAGAAAAGGTTATCTACCCATGAAATCGATATCATCTAGATAAAATAGCTTTCTTTGAAATTTTTTATGAAACGACTGTTAAAGTTTAATTTGTAGTTGTTTTGTCATAACTAATGCTTTTTGTAGTAATAACATTAATGGTGAACATCGACAAACTACAAGCGATTCCAGATATCAAAATAACCCACTTTTTACTAAGAGCGGCAATAATGAGTAAATAAGCTTTGTTTCTAGCAGTAATATATCATAATTTCCGTAAATTGTTAGAAACTTTAACCACACAGTTTACAACCTAACCTCCTTCCTAAATTTAAATAAGAATATCTTATGCGAATTATTTCAAAAAGTCAAAATTCAAAATTAGCATTATTAATAAAGCCTAATTGAACAGTGATAGTAAAAACTTGAGATTAATTGATGAACTATGGCTAGCTGTGAAATCTGGAACAACCATGTTTTTCATGTTACAGGTTCATTAGCTAGATGTACCTAGCCCATTATATTTGCAATGAGGTCTCAATCCGTTACATATCACTTCAAACACCAAAAGCGTTATTGACTGAGCTACTGAGTCTAGATTTTCATTTTAGAGTTGTGGAGATTGTTGAGTTTCATTAAGATTATGAACCAGTAGAACTCAAACTTATCGGATGTTAGGCATTTACCCGCCGAGATGCAGGAGTCGTGGATGCGCAGTCCTGATGAGTCCCAAACTAGGATGATACGGCAGTCCAGTGCTTTCAGGATTCTAATGGTGGTCTAACAATGACTGGTTGACTGATTGGTGATTTCAATGTGTTAGACATTTACATCGTTCAGCTCAGTGGTCTATAGGTTGGGCGTTCATACGCGAGACCAAACGCTCTAGATTCAATTCCCACGTGCGGGCGTCCTGAAGTCACACTGCTGATGAGTCCCATCTTAGAATGAGACGGCCATCCAGCGCTTTCAGGTATCTAATGGTGGTCTAACAATGACCGATTCATGATTTCGATGAGTCCAGATTGTCAGTTATGTATTAGATTCCAGTGATACTATGATCGGTTACTAATATATCATGAAAACATGACAGACGGAAAGAAAATAAATATTCTCGAAAGCAAGAAGTAAGATCAAGCACCTCAAACAAGGGATATTATGACCAGTGTCTACGGATTTTTAATCACTACAAACTGATAGAATTCCCTATTAAACTGTAGAATCCTTTGGTAGTCTTTGTAAGTTACGAAACCAATGACTTAAAATTTATTTACTTAACATAATAATGAGATATAACATTTTCGCATTTCATTTATCCTTATTAGTTCAGGAAATTCAGATAGAGAAATATCCGTAAAATTGATGGCAATCAACATAATTCAATAAGACAAGATAGTTGTTTACCAAATACTATTTAACTCCGTCTGGAGCCCATCTGGGGTTGCTGCCGGTCCACAGCCCGGATAAAAGAGAGCTGAGCATGTGCTTGACGACCACGTACCGCAGATAACTAACCCATTAAGGGGACACAAACCAGAAAAAATAATTCAAACCATATAAACTGTGTTCTTGGAATTTCAGAGTTATGACGTCTCATGATGAAAGCCGAGTTCCTTCGGAAGTCACGAGGCCCATGCCCCTTCTGACAACAAGGACAACTATTCTTTTAGGTACATGGGATGAGCGTACAATGTGGCAGACCGGAAGAGTCATCCAAGTTGCTGCAGAAATGAAAAGATACATCCTAAAGTTACTTGGAATCAGTGAAAAATACCGGAAGTAGGTTGTACAACTTAGAATAGCTTCAGAAGAGCTGGTTATACTCCGGCCCTGAAGAAGAAAATGTTCTACCTCCATAAGAAGTAGCACTGACGCTTTCCAAACAAGCACGAAAAGCACTGATATGATGGGAATCTCATGGACTCAGGATCATCAAAGCATCCTTCAAAACAAAGACATCATGGAACGAACATGGACTGGGAGAAAGGAACGAAAATGTTGAGAGATTTTCAAATCTATATGCCTTCAACAAACTGGTCATAAGCGGCACTATATTCCCAAATCAACGCTTGCACATAGCCACATGGATTACATCGGATCACACAAAACAGAACCCAGTCGATCATATCTGCATTGAAAAACGTTCAGAAGGACCATGGAGGATGTGAGAACCAAGAGAGGAGTTGAATTAGCCTCTGATCACAACTAGGTAGTTGCTAGGATGAAACTGAAACTTAAAAAATACTGAAAAACGAGGTGGACAACATCACAAAAGTTTAATACGACGTTCCTTCGGTATACTGAGAAACTCAGCGAATTCAGCATAGGAAGGCTCAGGACAGAGAAGAGTGGAGAATGCTAGTCATCGGCCTAAGCTCCACTGAGGTTAACAGGCGTAAGTATACACTATTTGATGTGGCAAGAATTTTTTGCCATCCAATGACCAAAACTTTCAGTGGAATACATTTTTGATTTACTATGGTTTATTTATTTCAGTAAATCCCGGAAATTACTAAATCTAAAAAAGCAGTTGAGATCATAGATGAAATTAGATATAGTTAGTAAACCTGAAAACATTTACATCATGCTCTGTCATGACTGCATGAGCTTAAATTATCAGTTATAGTCGAGTATAAGACACAAAGCGAGAATGAATTAATTTTTAACAATTTATGACTTCAATCTTGTTGTAAGTAGTTAAATAAGCGGTAATAACTAGAAAAATTGTAACTTCTTGAACTATTCTGAGAGATCTTTATACTTATTTTTTGTCGTACTTTTATTCAATACTTTATACATAGGAATTATTAAATTTCTCTAAATGTAGGCTTTGATTTGAATTGTTAACTGTTGATAGAGGTTCTGTCTTTCATAAATCACCGTAAATAATAAATGACTTACGACCCCGTTTTTATCCTCGATGAAATAAGAGTACTAATTATGAATTTGTAATTGTGTTATGTTAGTTTTTAAATAATGTATGCTGCTATAAGAGTATATCAGTTATGATGAACTAAATATAAAATAGAGCAATTCGGTCAGTACTTTCCTTGTCTTGATTGGTTATTTTGGACAGAATGAGCAGCGTGGACAAATAGACGTTAAGATATCCCGTTGTCGTTTAATGTCATTTGCGTTATCAGTTTAGGCGAAGGATATTTGCATTATTAGACGTAAAACAAGCCTCCTCACTACTGGACTATATCATCTAATGTGTATGTTGTAGACTTGGATTTTTATCAGACGTATTGTACAATCGTTATGTTCTAGCGAAAACTGCCTAAAGTTATGAATGTCAACCATTAGACTTCAGCTTAGTGATTTAAATTCTTTGTGAACATTATCAAGAATATCGACTTTAAATTCGATTTCATTTGGGATAATAAATGCACTGTGTTAAAAATTCCCAAAGTGGGAGAAAACTACAGTTTAGTAATAAATTGATTTCAAGAATTCATCAGAAATTATTGATAAATTTTTCCTTCTAATTATTTTAATTGATATTTTCACATACAGTTCAACAGTTAATGAGGTCAAACGAATTTCGCATTACAACTTAAACGAACCTATGGAACATGAGTTTGCATATTTGCTCTCCACACCTCCATTTCTATTTTCCTGGTTAACGTGCCAGAATGTATCGAAAATAAAAGATATACAAACGAATATGCGATTACGTTTATCAGCGCACCTTAGCGAGAAACTTTACCAGAGTTGAACAATGCAGTAGACTACATGTGTCTACATGCACCATTTACTCGTCTTGTACAAAAAGCAATCGGTTGGTTAGCGTTGATTGACATGCGTACAGAAAGTATCAATACAGATACACCGAACGATTCCGAGCTATTCTTATCATCACCATCATCAGTATCGAGAATTGATCAGTTATGTCATAACAATCACCATCGAGTGACATCCAAATCAGAATATTTTGATCAAATAGACCCATATATTTTCAATGCTTTGAAGGATTACTGCTTAGCTGATGATAAACAGTAAGTTTATTGCTTCATAAAGCTATTGGCAGTTGTACTACTAGTGCCAGTAATAATAGTATTCTATCGGTTTTAGCTTTCTACATAGTTTGAAAACCGATTACATCATAACAATGTAAATGTAATAATGTAACTAGTGATTGAATATCCATCTCAACTAGGTGTGTTTGTTTTGGAATGGTGATCAATTTTTTGCACGAAGTTAGTCTCGTCTCAATAGAGCTTAGCATGAATACAAATATCAGGGAGTGGAATCAACCCCAGTCTCTTAGTCAGAACACACTTCTTATCTGTCAAACTGATATCTTCAGTGCGATGCTAATCGGTGTTATAAATCTTAACTTCTGACCAGTTCCAGAGTAGAACGAGACAAACAAGCTATTAGATACTTGCTAATTTTCAAAGGCAGTTCAACTGTTACGGAGTTCGACTTTCAGACACTACGTCATGTGTTCGGACTCCATTACATATACTTTAGTTTGGTAGACGCGTTAGAATCAATATCTCTCACTCTTGGAGTGACTGAAAGGCGAGCGAAATAATCTATACCTGATAACTGAGTACCCCTGATTTCCGAAGGTTTCTTTTGTTTTTATTCAGTGATTGTTATTTGTTCATAGTTTACTGACTGACATTTCTTCCACTTACTTTAGTATTCCTGATCGCCAATTGGATACAATTTGTTTGAAAGCTACTGAATCGTCATACAGGCGTAGAGTAGATCCTGGACTAATGTTTGCGAAGAATATTGGTAATATGTATACCGCCTCGCTATACGCATGTCTTGTTAGTCTTCTTCTGAAGTAAGTAGTTTATGATCATTCATATTATTAGTTATTGTTGAGTGTTGCTTTATCGAATATTTTGATTATGTATTGATCGATTACATTATTCGGAAACCGAATGCAATAGCAGCTCTCGTGCCCAATGTATGTATACAATAATGTTCTATCATCGATTAGTCGGGAACTCAGTGTCCGAGAACTGAGAGAATGAAGAGAAAAATAGAAAAGTTTTGTTGCTGCTCAGATTGACTGTGTTATACGGTTGGGATGCGTGGTTATCTCAAGTAAATTTTGATATACGGTGAGAATCGCCCATTAAACATAAAAATTTTCAGGGCTCCAGATTGGAGTTGCAATTTCGATGTGTAGATTTGTAATACTTGCACGGGAAATTCCTCAAAGCCCCTAGAATACACAGCATTATATATGGTCGCTGAATTGCTTGGACTAATGAATGAACATGCGAATGTCGAATTTTTTCAGTATCTGTTTATTACAAAGCTTTATTTCATAGTTTGGCTTTGGTTAAACAACCATTTAAAAGCTGGAAACAGCATGCACTGCATGACACTCATTATATACCATCAATCGAGTGATATTAGAACCTTTACTTTGACGGACAGATACCAAAAAAAATCTTCACCAGCTAAGCTTTTTGAATTTTATCCAATCATTGTATGTTCGAAAACAATACACAGAAACCAACTGAACTCATTCACTCAGCTTCACATAGCTAATTAAATGCGTTTCAACTTTAGCAAAGCTGAAGATTCGTTCAGTATTTATTAAGGTGTCGTAAATATACGAATAGAATTAATTTTGTGTAAACCAGTCCGGAATTCCTAGACTTAATTTCACTCGACAGTCGTTTATACACAGTAAGATAACCAGTATCGTTAAGGATTCAGATTAATAGTAACACACCACTAATTTAGAACAGAATAATACTGCATCAGATCATTTATCACAAAGGATACAAATATTACAAAAAAAGATTTTCATACTGAAATGGAATGCGAATAAAAAACGGTTCGTAATAATTAAGATGTAATACTTATGGCATTTAGGCACAGTGTTTCTCGTCACTTCATGAACTACACAGAAAAGAAAACATGTCACAAGAAAGATAATTTGAAAAAAAAAGAAATAAACTAAAATGAAGTGGAGAACAAAAGAAAAGAAGACATTGAAACAGTGAAACAAAGAAACAAGTATTATAATTGAATAGGGAGAAACTTGAAAAAATTATCCTTTTTTGTTTGTTCGCATTTTTTTTTTCATTCTCTTCACACGTATAAGAAAAATAAAAGGAATCACTAGCAAGCTATTGTTGATAATCTAAAGAAGAGTAACTATGGCGAATTAATGCTGAGTTATAATCTACTTTCATAAACATAAGAATTCAAGTCAAATAATCACTATTCCATTTTGTTTTATATTTTAATATTGTCTTAATAGACAAGAGAAGAACATCATTGTGTTTTAAAGGTTGAATCCTGATAAAATGAAAACGATAGTAAATAGAATAAAATATATTAAATATAACCGTATTGATAAAACATGATAAACAAATTCATTGGGAATAATATTAACGGGAAACAAATAAGTAAAAATATTTATCTCAGTCAGCTTTGAAATACATATAGTTTTCGGTGTAGTGATACATACTACTCAGTCTCCTGGAGTGAGTTAGGTGCAATGATGTTTGAACTTGCAATTTAATGATTGAAATTGAAAGAGTTCGTAACCACTAAACCATTGGTACACTTCTATTCATATATTTGCTAAGTTATTACAAAAGCATTTACTGATGACATAGGTTAATCTATATTATATCATGGTAGTAATTTGTTAATAAATATATCAAATTCTAAATCCAATTATTCATTAATGAAAAATTTTGAACTCATTTAGCAAATGCAGATTAGCGAATTCGGTTTTGAGAAATATCCTACATGTGAATACTAACAATACGACCTGGTTACCCAAACAAACGAGAGTGGGGTGGAGTCGTAGTCAATGACTTAACGATTAGAAGACGAGTGCCTGAGATATCTCTGTATGTTGAGAGACTCCGAAGTAATATACACCGGTATTCACTCGTATATAAGTTAAACTAGTAATTCGGGATTTTTGAGTCGAATAGTGAACAATATAATGTGAAAAAATACAGAACTGTCTATAGAAGGTATGACGAGTATTAAATCCAGTGCCCATTGTCGATATTCAGATCAAACGATAAACAGCTAGTGCACTTACTACTCATAACGGTGATCGAACACAGACTTGTTGATGTCAACATTGGCGTAGATAACTAGAAAAACCAATCTCAACTGATTTCAAAAGTCTCACTACAAAAAAGCTAGTCCGAATCGTGTGAAAGTATTTTGGTTGTGCAAAATAAATTCCATACTTCCAGACTCTTATCGCTAATGGTTAAGTTGACAGTCTGTGTACTCATATATATATATATATATATATATACGTCTCACCTTATTGCCATCTAAGATTACGAATACTTATTATTGACCAATCCATGTTTTTTGCACAATTTCTATTCATCATAAAATAAATTAAATAATTTAATACTACTACTTACGAATTACACCCAGTAGTAAATAAACTGATAGCTGATAAGATAAATAATCCATGCATATTGAACATGAAAATGTAGTCATGGTAACAATATAAAACAAGAAACTAACTATTTTATCATCCTAGTTGCGATTATCATTGTTATCATTATTACTACTATTGTTACTACTATTATTATTATTATTATTATCATTATTGTTATTTTTGTATTACTATGAACGACAAAATCTCTCATGTTAATAACAATGAAGGCTACTTTAGAGTAAGAACAATAAGAAAACACATATTTAACGTAGTATTTTTTTGATCGAAATAAGAACTTGAAATGACTGAGTGATTTTAGTTATTATACAGGTTGTATACAGGTTGTTTATAGAAGAACAAGAAAAAATGAAAATCGGTAGTATTCAACACAGAACCTGATACATAGTCACTCAATTTGCGACGAACATTAGTATAATGAAAAGCAGTTCAAGAAAGGACAATAGCAAAGATGCCGAAATAATAGCAATAATAAGGATTGTAAGCATGATTGAACACGAACTATATGATTCAGAAAGAATATGAAATGAGAAAAGAGCTAGGCAGTAAGAAGTGATTCTAAAACTCAAAATCTAAACTAAAATAGGCGAATGAATTCATCCAAACGACTTTCAGAAATAGTCTTCCCTTTAAGCATGGTTTTACGATCGTTGAGTTGACATCAACCATCAAATTTGCAGCATTATCTCCTCTCCATATACACATACATATGGTTTGTATCAACAATCACCGACTGCATGAACTAACGCAACCTCTTCGTTTGTTAGACCTTAACTATTTTTGAACTTACTGACAGATAAATCAGAACAACTGCTTTTAATCTCATTACAACCGTCTGGATGACTTTTGTGTGTTACGTGAAGGAAGATCTTACTGTCTATATTTTCTCAAAATACTTTGAAGTGGCCCGATTGCAGATAATAAGACAGTGATTGAATAAGTGACAGGACCACAGAGAAACGATAAAGGTTCATTTTAAGAGGATTTTACAATTCAAAAATACACTGTTAACTTTTTATAGCGAAAGCATTTTATTTTCACTAATTTTAAAAATTTCTCTTCCTCAATAAACGACTATAAATACTTGCTTAAAATTTAAAACAATTAGGTTTTTTCTATCATAGCGATATGTCTAAACGAAGCCATTCCAATAGATTTCTAATATTTCATACGAAATTTCGAATAAACTTACGTTGATAAATTGATGTTGATTGGAACACAGATTAAAATGACAAACTTTTCAAGTTTATCATTTAGCATTCTGAAAATTTTTCATAGAATCTACGATAACGACCATCTATATTTTTTAAATAATATGAACCGGGAAATAGTCCTTCAGGTCTAAATGTTGGTTGAAATGAATCTGAAATTAAGTGAATATTATGTAATTTAAACATCATGTATGGAAATTGTCAATTATCACAAGTGTTATTAACTTATATATCAGGTAAAGATACATATACCTTATTCGCATACTCATACGCTACTCGTGTAAAGAGTATTGATACTATCCTTTTGTTGACCGAATTGCAGTAGGTGGAGCAGAGTTTCAGTCAACGGCTTAGCGGGTCAAACTCGAAGACCTAACCAAAAAATCACTAATTCAAAATCGCTAATCTCGAAAACTTGACATTTTCTCGTGAAATCTGTCAAGGAACATACAAACTTCCGAATTACACAGATAATTAACGACAATATATACTACGTAATCCTCTCCGTCACTTTTTAGAAATTTCAAATTTTCCCACTTATCGACATGAGGTTTTTTCGGTAAATTTGAATAATGTAAAACTCCTTTCAACAAAACACTCCTTCGATGATGAACGCAGAACGTCTTGAAATATGTGTGTATTATGAGTGATTAATTAATCCACTACATAATTACTATATTCGCGTTTTATTGATTCTAAACTAGCTTACTTATCGGTTAACATAATTATCCTTCGAAGGGCCATTCTTATCTTGTCTGTGATTAACTGTTATTGTTGGTTTTACCACCTTCAATGTATACATACGACCCCAAACTAAACGGAAGCTTAGAGCGAAATCACAGGCGAAAATAATTAATAATTAAGTTACAGAATCCATTCAAATTCGTTCTGTTACAAACTTTATGTTAATTTTCTACACTACTTATTTCAATTATCAGTAGACATGCGACGAGCAAAAGACAATTATGAGATTATAAGTTGAAAGAAATTTCGCGAGTCACAATTTGAGTCATACTAGTAGATGTTAAAGGAATAGTTCTAAATATTTTCTATACCGGGATGAAAAATGGATGCTCTTAAAAGCATTAACTTAGAAACTGACCAGTTCTATAACTCGAATCGAGAAAATCAGCTGCCTTCCGACCCGAACGTGTCTGCATAAACCACATTTTCACTCTACGACAGGTCCTGGAACACAGACACCCATAAAGGCATCCGACCATAGTTGTCTTCTTGGACCTTAAGGCGGCATTTGACTCTGTTGATCATGAGGTTCTACGGCAGTGTCTGTCATTAAAAGGTGTACCAAAGAAGTACATTAACCTTATACCGGCTCTCTACTCAAACACTACTGGTCGAGTGAGAGCTTTTAGCGAACTGACATCGGAATTGATTACGTTAAGTAGTGTTCGGCAAGGTTGTCTACTCTACCCATTCTTGTTTAACTTTGCCGCAGGTATGCTTTTAGAGTTAACATTATCTTTGTCTGACTTTTCAGGAGTGAACCTTTTACCAGGAGACACGCTAGTTGACTTAGAGTATGCTGATGACATAGTTCTATTCGGTGAACATTCTAACAAAATGCAGAGTCTTCTGACTACCGTAAGCAACAATGAAAGCATGCTCGGGATGCGATTCCGCCCGTCGTAATGCAAAGTGTTGCTTCAAGATTTGTTTGCGTCGGCACCTGAACTAGTGATAGGGAGTGAAGTAGTCGAACGTGTAGACCGCTTCATTTGTCTCGGGAGTCTCATCAGTGCTGATGGCCTGGTGTCTGACAAAATTTCAGCACGTATACAGAAGGCTTGATTGGCTTTCGCCAAACTTCGTCACTTATGGAGTAGGTGACTTATCAGTTTGTTAACCAAAGGACAAGTCTAATGAGCAGCAGTTCGCTCTGTCCTACTTTATGGCTGTGAAACATGGCCAGTCAGAGTAAAAGATATTTGTAAGTTGCTGGTTTTCGATCATAGGTGTCTCCAAAGCATTGCTCGTGTGTCCTGGGATAATCGAGTAAGTAATGCTGTTGTTAGGAAAAGAGTACTAAGTAAGGATGGCAAATCAACTGATAAAGTAGTGATTGTTCATCAGTTGAGATAGCTGGAACCTGTGTTACATATACACAATGACCGACTGCCTGACGATCTATGTTTTGTGGTGTAGGAGCAGGTTGGAAGAAAGCTAGGGGTAGCCAGACCAAAACATGGAACAAATCCATGAATTCTCTAACAAGTGGACTGAGCCATACTGGTAGGCGTAGACTGCCTGGTTGAGGTCAACGAAACAATATTAACCAATAGTTAGAGACTTTGAATGACATGGCTCAAATCCGTTTGCAATGGCGCAGATGCATCCACTCTTTATGTCCTCCTAAATTCTATCTAATCTTCTGAATTTTCCATCACCTTTCCTTTTTTAATTCATTTCACCGGTTTATATTTCTCGAATCGTATATTTGATCCCCAGTCTTTTCAATCACCGTTAATACTGCTACTACTTCTAATACTATGAGATTTGAACTGAAAATTCCATCTCTGTCTGCTAATGTGGTATGACAACTTGAACTTATGTGTGAGCATACCAAGTTATACGTTGTAGCTGACTGACTGACTTTTATCATTTTTTTACATAAAGATTTGCTATTTCTATAAATAAACTGTTAAAGTAACAAAAAACCTTTACCTGAATTGTGTGAAATCTGTCGTTCTTTAAGCATCAGCTCAAATTGTGAAACAGTCACTTGTGTCCGTTCGTCGAATAGACGTCTGCGAATATTGGATAAACTATCAGTACCATTGGACGATTCTAATGAACAATTTAAAACTGTGGATAAATCACGATCTGGATGAATTAGAATACTGTACATGGCTGATGCCATTCCAGAACCATAAGAATACATTAGTATACGACGTCCTAATAGTTCAGCATTTGGAGTACTATCATTAACAGAAAAAAAGTAGAACTGAGGACGGTGAGTTAACAACAATCTATTCATACGAGAAAAAATCCTCGAAGACATATGAGACTTATTGTCAATTTTCGGTTCCTCATATCACGTGATGAGGACTGGGTAAGGAGCAATCTGGACGACCTAGAAGCCTGGAGACAACGTTCATGGGATGACTGTTTCAAAGTAGTCACATACAGTTCTGTTAGGTGCAGTTCTTAGTGCGTTAACTCCGTACATTTCAAGCCCTACCGGTGGGAGAGTAAATACGTGGGTTAAGTGGGGTACACTACGCTTAGGGCAGACTTTACTTACCCGCCAATTTCGCATTGAGAAGGCGGATGTCTGGGAGAGATGCCTTACTGCCATTACAGTCATCAGAATAGATCTTCTTTGAGACCTAACATTTTCTGCTTTTGGTCATGGATGATCACATTGATGTAACAGTCAATAAATCAGTCTGACAGGGCAAGACCGAAGAAAACAACTATTTTACCTATTAGATTATCACAAAATGCAGGCAAATCCTCGAAGTAGATGTAGGAGTTACATTTAGGATACTTGATTAAGGTATGTACTAATAGACCTCGAACATGTGAAAACAAGGTTGGTAGACACTAGCTACCCAAGAGTACAGAAATAATTGGGAGGGGATATCTTCAACAAGTATGTTAATTTGAATTCGATAAATGAGTTCAGAATGAAAATATCTGGTTACCAAATCACCCTGATTATACAGACCTACTATTATCCACTCTTTTCCGAGAAGTTTAGGTCAACTAATGAAACTATCAACAATCTCTATTGAATTTTATCATTAATGAATAATTGGATTTATAATTTGATATATTTATTAACAAACTACTACTACGTTATAATATAAATTAACCTAGTTGAATATAGGTATTTTGATAATATGATTTAGCGTATTGTTGTAATGCTGTAGTAAAATAGAAACAATTTATGGAATCGAAATGTTTTATTTTAATGACGACAAAATAGTTTTGATCATTTTCATTAGCTACAAAATTTTGACAAACTTTAGGCCATCAGTCAATGCTTTTGTAATACGTTTTGTGATAACATACCAAATATATGAATAAAAGTGTACCGATGGTTTAGTGATTACGAACTCTCTCAATTTCAATCATTAAATTGCAAGTTCAAACATCATTTCACCCAATTAGCAATTAATTTGCTATTCGAAATAATTATTTCATCCGAATAGTTCCGCTAAATTTATGATAATATGTGCTATACAATTATGTAAAAACTAGTATCTTTAAAAAATTAAACACAAATGGTTGGGATGCACATAGTCTTATGTGAAGTAGGAGCTTTTCAACTTCCCTGAGATTTTTTCAACACTGGAAAGCAAACGGATTCGATAGACAAACTGTGAAATGAAGCTTTGGAATAAACAGATATTGAGAAAATTCGACATTCGCATGTTCATTCATCAGTCCAAGCAATTCAGTGACCATATATAATGCTGTGTATTCTAGGGGCTTTGAGGAATTTCCCGTGCAAGTATTACAAATCTACACATCGAAATTGCAACTCCAATCTGGAGCCCTGAAAATTTTTATGTTTAATCGGCGATTCTCACCATATATCAAAATTTACTTGAGATAACCACGCATCCCAACCGTATAACACAGTCAATCTGAGCAGCAACAAAACTTTTCTATTTTTCTCTTCATTCTCTCAGTTCTCGGACACTGAGTTCCCGACTAATCGATGATAGAACATTATTGTATACATACATTGGGCACGATAGCTGCTATTGCATTCGGTTTCCGAATAATGTAATCGATCAATACATAATCAAAATATTCGATAAAGCAACACTCAAAAATAACTAATAATATGAATGATCATAAACTACTTACTTCAGAAGAAGACTAACAAGACATGCGTATAGCGAGGCGGTATACATATTACCAATATTCTTCGCAAACATTAGTCCAGGATCTACTCTACGCCTGTATGACGATTCAGTAGCTTTCAAACAAATTGTATCCAATTGGCGATCAGGAATACTAAAGTAAGTGGAAGAAATGTCAGTCAGTAAACTATGAACAAATAACAATCACTGAATAAAAACAAAAGAAACCTTCGGAAATCAGGGGTACTCAGTTATCAGGTATAGATCATTTCGCTCGCCTTTGAGTCACTCCAACAGTGAGAGATATTGATTCTAACGCGTCTACCAAACTAAAGTATATGTAATGGAGTCCGAACTCATGACGTAGTGTCTGAAAGTCGAACTCCGTAACAGTTGAACTGCCTTTGAAAATTAGCAAGTATCTAATAGCTTGTTTGTCCCGTTCTACTCTGGAACTGGTCAGAAGTTAAGATTTATAACACCGATTAGCATCGCACTGAAGATATCAGTTTGACAGATAAGAAGTGTGTTCTGACTAAGAGACTGGGGTTGATTCCACTCCCTGATATTTGTATTCATGCTAAGCTCTATTGAGACGAGACTAACTTCGTGCAAAAAATTGATCACCATTCCAAAACAAACACACCTAGTTGACACGGATATTCAATCACTAGTTACATTATTACATTTACATTGTTATGATGTAATCGGTTTTCAAACTATGTAGAAAGCTAAAACCGATAGAATACTATTATTACTGGCACTAGTAGTACAACTGCCAATAGCTTTATGAAGCAATAAACTTACTGTTTATCATCAGCTAAGCAGTAATCCTTCAAAGCATTGAAAATATATGGGTCTATTTGATCAAAATATTCTGATTTGGATGTCACTCGATGGTGATTGTTATGACATAACTGATCAATTCTCGATACTGATGATGGTGATGATAAGAATAGCTCGGAATCGTTCGGTGTATCTGTATTGATACTTTCTGTACGCATGTCAATCAACGCTAACCAACCGATTGCTTTTTGTACAAGACGAGTAAATGGTGCATGTAGACACATGTAGTCTACTGCATTGTTCAACTCTGGTAAAGTTTCTCGCCAAGGTGTACTTATCATTATATTCAGACCTAAAATATAGATCGTAAACAGTTCATTTTATAAGGCTTATAAGTGTCTTACTAGTCTTCCTGGTATTGCATAAATATACAAAGCGAAATAATTGACTTAAAAGAGAACACAGTTATTGTCACAGAATTGAAAATCATCCATACAATAAATATTCCTAATTGAAGAATGACTCGCTGAAGCTGAACTGATTTGCAACCAATGGCATTATTGTTGTCATCTGCAATCTAGTCTTCATATAAGTACAATTTCCACTTACTCTTCATACCTCGAAACCAACCACAAATCATGTATTCACCGATGGTTGATAAGGATTTGAGTAGGCGTAAAATGATCAGTCTTAATATGTTCAACTGGTTCTATCAGCCTTCAGATAGAAGTTCGCTGTGTACCAAAGACATGTGAACATGATTGTAGTGGTGTTATAAATTCGTGTCCAAGGATCTCGAGCATGAACTCAAGATTGGATATCAATCCATGAGAAAACGCTAACGAGCAGTGACTACATTTATAAATCGCCATGAAATCCGTTAGTAGAGTCTTTACCACTTTAGGAGGCGTCCCAGTTATAAACATTGAGTATTTTGAACAACTTCCTAAAGCCCCTTGTTCTATTCTGGCACATTGATAGTCAAATACCTTAGGTAGGCATCTCATCAGTATACAATAATTAAGAAGTTCGGTAGTCAGAATATATTACCAAGTTAGGAACAGCAGCTAGACACGGTCGGTCTGTCGGAACATAGAGCCTGGGATGTTCAAGCTGCGAAACGCCACTAGTACAGAGCAATGAAATTTTCAGACCAAATCCCTGAGTAGCAGAGGTAGTAACAGTATCCGTGAGAGGATAGAGGATACGCTTCAGGAAAACATTAGTCGGTTAAATAAATCTATTTAAAGTTATGAGGAGTTCAAAAGCTTGGAATTCGGGAGAGGACAAAAAGTCGGTGCACCTGTGCCATCGCAATCGATTTTGAACTGTATACGGAGTGCACCAACCATTAATAACAAGAAGTCTAGTTACAGTGAAACAATTCATCAAGTAACTTCAATTAGTGCTAATCATTCTCTTAATGTTTGCCTCAAATTTTCGGAGCAAATAGTCGTTCGATCTGCTTTGTTCCTTTGGTTGTGAGAATTCCAAATTAGGGCTTGCGGTCGAGCATGTCTGTGCATAAACTACATGTGCTTAAAATCAATTATTCGTGTGGTGGATGCTGATTACTGCGTCCTGTATTCAACGGGCAGGGAAGGGAAATAAGCTACTGAATAGAGGATTGATAGGAACTTAATCACTGGTTAGCTCAGGGATATAGTTGTAAAAATTGGTGTCCTGATTAGCAATTTTATCGTGTTATATTAGTGAACGGCTAATAAGTCACAAACAATAACAATAATAATAATAATAATAATAATAATAATAATAATAATAGGGAAAATCAAAATACGTTTACCTTTAGAAGCTGATTTGTGTTTATATAATTTATAACAGATTTCTAATGCCTCCCGATAACACTGCATACTAAATTGACCATCAACAATAGGATATTCAGAACTTAAATTTGGCTTATAAAAATCATAACAGTGTTTCATGTAAATAGCTCGTAGACCTTAATAAAATAATATAAAGATAGTAATCTAAGCTCTGTTACATGCTAAGAATATTACTGTTATGTAACAAACTGATTAAGAATAAATTACAATGATCTCTAATTGAATTTAATTACATATTTACTGGTTTATATTGACAATAAACGGATAGTTGAGTCGTTGATCTGGAGCGGTAATTCAATAGTCAAAACATTCGACTTTTAACCAATAAGTCGCAGGTTCGAATTTAGCTCCGCTTAATTCGTTTTAGGCAACCGGGTAGTATCATCAACTTTCAAAACAGTGTGACCGGAAGCCAAGTACATTAATTTATACTTGGTGAGCTGAATAATACAGAAGATATAGCTAAAGGATTTGGGGGTGATTTGTGATATTTCATATTTTTCTGATATAACTTTGAAAAGAATCCAAATGTCATGTTAATGCATTTAAAATTTTGATACTAACACGATTCATACAGCAACGAACAGGTAAAATTATGTTATCTTTCGTTTTCCATTAAATTGAGACATAACACCGAGTCACAAGTGTGTTGATATTAGCAATGTTAAGTTCATGAAGCAGTGTTGTTTTACTGTTGCCAAACTGGTTGCTTAGTTGAGAAGTTATCACAAACCAAATGTATCAAGTGTAACGTTTTCTTAAATATGCTGAAAAATTTTGGTGACAATCTTGAATGCAGTTCAGATTTATTCTTTTCACCTATCTAGTTATTGAATGCTAATATTTAGCAATTTTAAATCATGTTTTCTTACGCTAAAAACAACTACACAGATAAACTCCCGTAAGGCAGCTAAAATACTGAAGTACCTAGTCAAAAAAAGTCCCAAAAGTTAAAATCATACCAGAATCAATCACTAAAGGAGCATTCGGTCCAAGTAAAATTGCTACAGCTCCAGCACCGCCAGTAGGACGAGCTGATTTATCCCCATAAATTGCTATATCAGCTGCAACAACCAATGCCAGACGACCTATTTATTGAAAAACGGCAGAAAGATGAGAAAAGCAAAAACACGGATGAAACAGAATATAACATTGAAAGCAGACTATGATTAATTGATTTTAGATATATTGGTTTACAAACTACGATCTGAAATAATTTCTGCTATAAATATTTTAAAAGTTTCCTCAACAGTTGTTTCAGTCTTACTTAGACCATACGTCAACAAAATAAATTTTCAAACAGTGGTTATGTCCTCCACACTTACAAAGTACATAATGTGCAAATCACTAGGCCTGTCAAATACTACACATGCATGATCGATTTTCAGAGATAAAATAGTCATAAAACGTGATTGAGTTCAGGTTTATGGATTAAAACTTGAACCACAGCTATGGTGCAAGACCTGAATAAGCCCAACATTTTAATGAAACAAACACAGAAAAGGTAAAATGTAAAACCTGGACATGATAAACTTTAAAATAGATGAAAGCAATTAAGAAACAACGTTAGTTTGGTTCTGAAACAAGATAATGTCTGTCATGGAAGTGTATGCGAGTTAACCAACTTACCGTTGCAGTAACTAGATTCAAGCCAATTGAGTGCACCGAACAAAGCAGATGTACCACCAAAACAAGCGTTTTTCGCATCCGTCCCTTCAACGTCAAAATTACCAGCTGATTCAAATAATTGCATTATTACAGTCTTCGTAGATTTAGATTTATCGATAATCGTTTCTGTTCCAACCTATAGATTTAAAATGAAAGCTTTCATTGCCTACAGTTGTACGAGTATAAGGAAAGTACTATTTCCGTAGGCAACTTGACGGTTATAATTTATTCATGATTAGTTACTAACCCCACTAAGACCGCACTCTAGCACGAACCTTATTTGACACAATAAAGTCAAAGAATATAATCCATGTATTGGTAACTTATAACAACTTGAAACGTAGTATGTCCGTCCAACATTCTTTTGCACTTAGTAGTACTATAATTTAGTAAATCTAACAGCAGAAACAGAAACAACTGGACTGTATTGGTAAGAAACATGTACGACCTATCGAAAGAGCCTTTTTGGGAGGCAAGCCTTTCGACTGAAAGTGTGTCGGTGAATTTAGATATAAACGCGGAGTAGTCTTCTGTTACAATTTAAAATTGTCTTTACGCAGAAATTTTGAAAATCTGAACAAACTATGAACACGGGGAATTGCCTACATTCCAAGTCTTACTCTAACTAATATGGACACAATCTTAACTACTCAAATAAATGTTTTCTAACTACAATCACTACCTAACAGAAACTTTTCTATATGCTTGCGAAATAACATAACACAAAGTATACGATTTAGGTATTCAAAAGAGAAAACACTACTTACCTCGAGAAAACCTATTGTTTTCAGATCAAGATTTACACGTCTGATCAGGTTGCTGACAACAGTTAAACACATTGAGTTTATATCTTCCTGTATCGAACAGAATCCAAGAGATGTTTGTCCTAATCCTTGTGTATACTTTCCAACACAATCGTCTGCTATCTCAAGATCATGTTGTGAGACATAAAATCTTGGAAAGTAGATCTCTAAAGCAATAATCCCGAAATCCGGAGTACTCATAACTCAATAATTACGGCGAACACAACTGCAAAAAAGGGTCGCACATATTATACATGAAAAATCAATTTCTTATGAAAATGCAGTCTTTATCATTTCGAATGAGATAATAAAACTAGCGGGATAAACGAAATTCTGTATTTCTAAGTATTACCATTACTCAATAACTGAGCACATGTTTATTTTATTGTCATGGAAAATGATTGTGAGAGCTAGATACATAAACCGGGTTTATTTTACTTTTGACCTGGAACATAATTATTGATGGAACTAGGGTATCAAGATAAGCATACAACAGAGATTAGACTACGAGCAAAACAAGGGAGAGAAGGGGGATACAACCACATAAAAATGGGTAGACAAACACAGTATGTTATTTGACGTATAGGCTCGCCGAGTATATCTTGTTCCACTTAACCAGTAGCAACTTAAAAGTTCACAAATCAAGTTATGTACTATATTTTACAAAAGGTGGAAATCGTATGAAAAATTTTGAACTTGAGATTTAGATTCAGACATTAACTCATAGTTGGGAAATGAGGACTGAAATATTTACCCACAGTTGGCCTTTTAATATTTGAGAAACCGCTTTAGTATCAGGTGTTTAGTAAGAACTAGATGCTTGATACAAAGTAGATTGGCGAATATATCCTATGAAAATGGATCAATGGTGATTTCCTGCTTCTACAGATTTTTCCTGGTCTCGTACTAGTATACTAGCCCCTATATTCGATGTGAATAAACAACACAGTCTTACAAGTATGAATCCCAGGAAATTGAAGTTATAGTGCAGCCTCAAATTGAGATTATGAAGCTTTAGTTTGTAAACAAACGGTAGCTAAGCCCCCAGTGAAATGTCAGAAATGTTTCTGTCACGGATAGTGATAGCATTGTAAACAGCATGTGGCTATCGTTCAAGTTCAAGTAAGAATACATCTTTATCCGGACAATCAAAATTTATTCGAAAATGATGGAAACATCAGCAGTGTTTTTTGGGTTTACTTATACTTGTATATGCCTTACATAGACTTAGCACTTACAGGTACGAAATTATAATGTTGTGATGGTAGCGTTACTAACTGGATTACCGCAACACCGAAGGTCAATTTAAATGTCTCAAACAGTTTTGGACATAATGTAAGTAGCTTCCGCTTAACCGACATTCGTATGTCGAAGTGACTGGTCACCGAAGTATATATGTATGGACGTAAGTGTATTCAACGAGTAAAACCGGTCGATTTGATTCGAACCGAATACCTTGGAACCGTACCGAAAGAACAGGAATCTAGCGCAAAGAAACCAGTTGGTTTATACTAGCCCGTGAAAAATGTATTGGATATTGGAAGAAAGACACAATAATAATTTGTAATCAAATGCTTTCCTAAGTCTTAGAGAATGTGTCAAGTTTCTCTTAGAAGGACTCCAGGGGGTCGCTTTGACCACAGTCGGTAAAGCACTCCACAATGTGCCTGACCTTAAAGAGAAGGAGGTTCGCCAACAGTCAGTTTTGCTACTCTTTGCCTCTGGTTTTTGAGTTTTCCTCCGAAGGCTTCAGTTATAACTGAGCTTAAATAAATTTTCTAGGGGATGCTCGGAGTGTGAGTGAGTCAAAGATACCTCCGAAGCGCCCATACTTTAGCGGGTGAAGATCCCGTAACCTATGTTGCTCTTTCTAAGATTTCAAGTTTAGTCTTGAAACTGGTTTCGTGTCTTCTTTTAACATACGTTGCAAGGAATTCTTGTCTTTTTGGAGTTGGAGAAGAGATACTATATTCACATACTCTAAACTTGACTGAATAAAGATTAGGTGGAACGCTCTATTATCGAGCTTGTCAAAATTGCCCTTTAAGGATACTAGAGTAGGGTTTGCTAGAATGGAATTTTTGTCACGGTTAGCGTAAGATTTTAGATCATAGGTCACCGAAACTCATAGATATTTTCCAACGTAGGCTGACTCTAGAGGAGTGTTATGCGAAGCACGTTTCAAGTGAACTACTTTGCACTTTGAAGTTACAAAAGTAATTTTTTGTTATCTACAGAAATTTGAAGTTGAGTTAGATACATCCGCCCTCAAACTCATACAAAGCACACGACACCAAACTGATCACAACCAAATACTTTCTACACATTAATAACTCCCTCATCTCCACAACCAACCCTTTTTTCAATCGTTTGTCACCTAGCGCCGCTAGAGCAAGCGGTTTAAGCTCAAGAAACATTATTTCTGGGCAACGAGCTTCCTTAGCTAGTATTCTGGAATCTAATGCCGTCGATATATGTTGCGTCTCTGAAACGCGCACACAAGATCCGAGTAAATTCACCAACTTGATTTCACCTAGCGCAGATAGACACAACAGGGTTTACTCTTCGTGTTTCTGGAAACCCTGATGCCGCTTTTCGTGACCTCGCCAGTGTAAGTCTAGTATTAAGTCGTAGATCAGAACTAGCTCGCCTGAACTGAATCCCAGTAGATAGTCGCTTGCTCATTATCTGACTAAACGGGACATTAAGGACTCAGAAGGATAAGGACACTCCTCATTGACCCTTCGTGATCTCTACCTACGCTCAAAATGACTGCAGTTCAGATGAGGTGAAAGATGAGTTTTACAGAAAGATTCCGGAAATCCTCCAAAAAGCTGGGCGCTCTGATATAGTAATAATGACTGGTGACTTTATTGCTCAAGTAGGTAGACAATAAAAACGAAAGACACCTTGGTGTATGTTATGGTGTAGCGGCTAATAGAACAGATAATGGCTAATGTCTGTTGCACGTATGCTCAGATAACCGCCTGTTCCTAGAAAACACTAACTTGAGGCAGGCGTCTCAACGCTAGATCACATCGTCATCAGCCGTCAACCTCAGCGCGAATACATAATGCTCGATAAGCTTTCGCCAAACTTCGTCACTTATGGCGTAGGCGAGATATCCGCTTGTTAACAAAAGTACGAGTGTACTGTGCAGCAGTTCGCCCCGTCCTACTTTATGTCTGAGAAACATGACTGGTTAGAGTTGAGGATAATCGTAAGTTACTGGTTTTCGATCAAAGGTGTCTTCTAAGTTTTCTCGGACATCTTACGACCATCGGGTAAGCAATGCTGTTGTAAAGAAACGGGTACTAGATAAGGATGACGGATCAACAGATGGAGTGGTGATTGTTCATCAGTTGAGATGGCTGGGATATGTGTTACATATGCCTAATGACCGATTGCCCGACGATCTATGTTTTGTGGTGTAGGAGTAGGTTGGAAGAAACCTATTCGCGACCAAACCGAAACGTGGCACAAATCCTTGAAGTCATTGATAGCTGGATTGAGTCATGTTCGTAAGTGTAGGCTGCCTAGTTGGGTTCCACAAGATGCTAGTAATCGATGGTTAGAGATCTTGAATGACATGGCTCAAAACCGATTGTAATGGTGCTGGTGCATCCATCCTATGTCTTCTCTTAAATCCTAATCCTATGGATTCTTCACCACCTTTGTTCTCCTCCTTCTAAGTTTATTTCACTAGATTATACTTTTTGAATAATATCTTCGAACTTTAATCTCTCATACTCCTGCGAATACTTCTACTACTATGGGATTTGAATTGACAATTGCATCTCAGTGCTAATATGGCATGGCAATATGTATTGAGGTACGGAAGTAGAATTTTCTATGTTGTTGTTGAATGGTTTACTGACTTACGCCAGTTACCCGTGATGAAGTATAGGCTGGAAAATAGGTTGATAATTGTTTTGAGTTCAAGATGTTTCAATCGCATAAACGATGTATTTCATTTGCCGATTCGTGCCCTCTCATCAGCACAAGATCCACCTGGTACTGCCCACATGTGTAAAGCTCTCTCCATGTTGCAAACGTTCTCCGTCAAGTTTTTATTTGGTCAGTGCATGTTCTGTTGTATGGGAAAATCATGCTTTTATCTTTGTTTATGTTGGGACCTCATGCCACCGAGGCTGCTGCTTCTGATGATGTCTTCTCTTCTATTTGTTGTTGTGAGTGTGGTAGAAGAGAACTTCAGATCGTCCAGCTCCATCCTGGCTATCTATTGTGTAATAATAATAATAACAGTAATAATTTATTCTCAAATAACATACATGTTACAAGAGACATGCCAATTTACAGGCAAGTTTAAAATGTTAAGATTAGCAACATATTTCTTTTAAAACAGTATACAGTTACCGAAACATTTCACAAGATTCATTGTATTCTTAAAGATGGAACATACAATGCGAATAATTGGCGCAAGTTACAAAGGTTGCGTTACGACAATCATCATATGGGCTGAGAAATGATTCATGGTACAGACAGGTTTTCATATAACAAGAATTGATGCGGTAAATGTACAAAGGTCTGGTTGATATTCGTCAGCTAATAATTTCACATGTTCTTGGGTAGGGTAACCAAGTGTACTGCAAATATCCAGACTAATATATGGGGATTGGAATAAGCTTCTGAAAAAAGAGGAATAAAGAAAACGGGATGAGGAGCAGAACAGAAAATATTCATGTCCAAAGCCGAAAAACGGCTTCGCACATGCGTTTATGGATAAAACAAAGGTATGTTTACCCAAACATTTTTAATATCAGAACACTTTACACCTGCGCTTATGTAGGTTAATGAAGACACTTCAGTAATGAGATAACCAATGGGAAGTTAGTCGAAAAATAAAGGAAATTCAGAAGAACCAAGTTGTTAGTAATAATGTTGATTTACAAAAATCAGTGATATGATTTTTTTGTTTTCTTTTTTCTTTTTATTTTTAACTCTGAAGATCAAGAAGTTATGAATGAGCTCTTTTCTAGTATAGTTGTCCAGACCAGCTTGTAATAGGATTTCTCGGTAGGAAGCAAAAACCAGTGCAAGGTTACAGACATGAGTTGTAGACGAGGTTAACAAGGAAAAGTAACATCAATATCACTGATTTGTTACATCCTGCTATATCGTAAGGAGCCGTAAGCAAACAAAATGTTCTGCCACACAGACACGGGTAGATTGAGGTTATCGCCCCACCATCATGAATGCTGGTCAGATACACCACCCTCTCTCCTTTTGTGATGATAGGCTCTCTTACGTTTAATGGTTAATTGTAAATAATGGTCTCTAGTCTACTCTCAATTTTTTTGTACACCTTATCGGAATTAACATTCTCTACTAGCTCCAACATTACAAGTAATCCAGACAACTTTGCCAGATAATATATCCACATAGCATATCACACTGATTTTAAGTAAACGAATGGTATAATTTGTAAGATGAGTCAATTAATAGGTAGTTTTGAAATAGGAAGGACAGGGAGCTGGAACGAGGAGAAAGTGAAAAAAAAGAGTTGAAATAATGTTAAAAATTAATGAGTAAAGCAATAAGTTGGTAAGCAGGCAAGGTGTTTGCATGTTAATGAATTGGGGAAATAAAAATTAGTTAAACTGTTAATACTTAAATAAGAAGATACTCACAATGATACACGGTGTTTGAGTTCCTTGTATTTGACAGTAGTTGAACAGCATCTACAGGCTTTTCAAATTGTCTGTCTACTAGAAATAAAAACTAAAACTGCTTTGAAGATATGAAAATAATAATCGGAATTTAAATTCAGAGAAAAGTCACTGGTAGCACCTTGAAGGCGTAACCTATTACTGTTAGTAGGAGCAGGGGGATTCGTATATCATTTCATGATACATGTATGGGTGGTAATGAGAACACAATGTGTTCATAGTCTATAATTCGTTTCCGAGGTTCATCTAAATATTTGGTGGACCATAAAAGAGTGCCTGGGCACTTTGTGTGAGTTCCGGGAATAGTCGATAAATCTCTTTAGAGTCTAGCAACAGCATGACTAGTTTCTTGAACTTAGTGATTGTGTCACAGATACGGATAGCAATTGGTAACCTGTTCCACAGTAGACTGTATCGTATTACAAAGAAATTACAACGCAATAATTTCTTGTGTTTTGCCGTTAATAGTGTATATGCGTTGTTTCTAAGTCTGTAAGCAGTGTCGTGGTTCATAGTTGGGCGGTATTTTACGAACGAAAGACCATTTATCAGTTTATAGAGGAGCATTAGGTTGTTTTTGAGACGACGGCGCCATAGAGGTTCTAGGGA